TATATATATATATATATATATGTTTGAGTATCCTATCGTATGTATATAAAGCTTTAAATTTATAGTTGTTTTTGGATAATTGTAAAGTTAATACTTTATATTTTAGATGGATGACTGTTCTACCTTATCATGTATGTGATGACTCTCTACTATAGTTTATATTATATTTTGGAAAGTTACAGTTCTGGACCCCAACCGAGGTCCTAGACCCTTAAATTAATTATTTTTAAGGGTTTACGGTCTCGGTTTAAACCAGAACCGAGACAATAATCATAAGTTTTTTACTTCGGTTTTTGAACCGAAGTAAAAAATTCAAACTTTTTACCTCGCTTAAATATACCTCGATTTTGTAACCATGATCATAAACCCAAAACAAATAGAAACAATAGCCCTTCCTTGCACTAGTGAAATTTACTCATGTCTTAGAGGTATTTTACCTCTTATAATAATATTAATTATATATTTAAATAGTATATTGCATTTCAATAAATACAATTCTAATATTAATTATTTTACTTTTATTCAATTTTTATTTATTAATCTAAATTGATATTTATGTAATTATAATTTTTTTATTTAACATTAAAAAGAATATCTTTTTAACATTGAATTTTATATAATATTGTGTTTACTTTTTTTTTTTGTAATTTTTATTTTTTATAAAAAAGTTAGTTAATTAATTTTTAAAATTATATAAAGGAATATGAGCATACTTATTATTTGATGGAAGATGAGGATGGAAAAAATTTATAACTATTAATATAAGAAGAATGATGAGGATAAAATCTTGTTATAAGGATAAAGATAATGAGATCAAAACTATCATGTGAAAACATTGAGTTAGAGGTGGAAAAAGTAATGTCCTAACGAGATCAAGAGGATATAAAGAGATTATATATAAAAACAAGAAAGAGAAAAATGACATTAATTTTAAATTCTTAACTTTTTTATATGAAATTTAAAATTTCATTTTTAGATTATTGAATTCCTCTTATAAATTTAAGTTCTTAATAAAAGTAAATTATCATCTAAAAATTCACTTTAGGTATTATTTTGTTTTGTTTTCTTTATTCTTTTTTTCCCATCCATCGATACGAATTATGGAGCGTGCATGTCTTTTAAGAGTGTTAGTTTTTAGGAGCAGCAAACATGCGGCTATGTTCCAAGTTGCTTAGCATTTCCTAATTAAATTAATGTATTTCGTAGACCGTACGATCCGATCTAGTGTAATTTGCATCACCGTCATGATATTTGTGCTGACACACGTGTCAGACGTTGGTTCTCCAAATTGAGGACAACTTTCTACTTCTTAATGCACCCAATAAATGTTGCATCCAATCCCCACCCTTCAACGTTTCTATAAATACCCCACCATCATTTGCTTTCGGATCCCAGCATCTCCTCAAACATCCCTCTTGTTTCTTGGTCTCGATTCGTGATTCAGACAGAAGGTTCTGCCAAATCAAGAGGGGTTTTCTGATCATAGTGTTGTGCAACAATGGCTATGGCTAAGTTCCTTGCAGCTATGATCTTGGCTCTCATTGCCATTTCCATGCTTCAAACCGTGGTTGGTCTTTAACAATGTCTAAGAACCAGACACATATAATGTTTTCATGTTTTGATACCACTTGCGTACTAGTGTTGAGAAATTGAAGGCTTCTTACATTTTTAATGGCTTTATTTTTCAGGTCATGGCTGCAAATGGGCATGGAGACCACCTGAATGATAACAAGGTATGCTGCATCTCTTCTTTACTCTCTTTCTTTGTGGTTTTGTGAAGAATGAAAAATGGGGTCTTGGGATTTTTGCTTTCTAAGGGTTGAATCAGTGCTGATTTATGCTGTTTGTTTCCCCAGAGCAAATATGGAAGTGGGAGTCTCAAGAGTTACCGTAAGTAAACTTCTTTTCTTCAACTTGTCGTTTTATGGCATCAAGCAATGTATATATGTCTCTAGATTTCTCCAACTCCAAACTTTGTACATAAAAAATGGTGGCGACACTGAGAATGGAAGAAGGAAAATTTTTAAGAACATTCCGAAAAAGCTCTCAGTGCAGATCTTGGATTGTTATTTTCCTATTATTTTTTCAGTTAAGCCAATTTATGCTCACATGATTCTGTACCTCTCTTTTGAAAGCTCTTAACTAACCAAACCGACATATAATATTATCTGTACTTTCTCTATAAATTAAAAAAAAAAGTTCTAAAATTTTATTAATTGTTACGTCTCTCTTCACTGTCAATTTTAGTTTGACTGTGGTCAATTTTTCCCCATAAAAGCTGCATTTTTTTAGTGTTTTTGACTGATGTGTGAAAAGAGAGGAGTCAAAGAGCTATTGATTATTGGATTGACCATACCGGTTGCCTCTTTTGTTTCTTACCAATGCTGAATATGTCTCTTTTGGGAATGTGAAATGACCAGAATGCCCATCACAATGCTCGAGGAGATGCAACAAGACCCAATACCACAAGCCCTGCATGTTTTTCTGTCAGAAGTGCTGCAGGAAGTGCCTGTGTGTTCCTCCGGGTTATTATGGTAATAAGGCTGTGTGCCCTTGCTACAACAACTGGAAGACCAAGGAGGGAGGACCCAAGTGCCCTTGAGCTTCAACCTCAACATCAGATGTTGCTTTCTTATATATTTATCACTTCCTTCATTGTTCCATTTAAGGCACTAGCTTACTTCCCTACTATTCACATGTCCTAACTAAATGATATATAGCCCCTTGTGGTGGCACTATGATGTATGTTTTCTTATGAGTTTTGGGATGTCCTCCCTCTAAGGACCACATCCGTAGTATCACTCCTTAGGACTTGCTTTCCTTTAATGTGAGTGGCTTACTTATATCAATACATCATCTGTGGAACTTATTTCTAGCTTAATATCTTGTCTTGGCCAGCTAACTATCACATACTTATAATTTGGAATCATTGAATAGATAATTGGGCTACTTCACTGTCTTTACAAAAGAGCAATTTTTTTCCCTTTCAGTGTAGTTTCTTCTTTACAAGGTCCCTATTTATTACCAGATAGGCGTGCATGTGATAAGGCAAAGTGATGCTCTTGCTCTGTCATGCACCCTTCTCTCAAAGTCTGTAGGCCCATTTTACTCAAGACGTGTACTTTTGTTTTCCTTTTCTTTTTACAAAGTAAAGATGCCACAAAAGTAAAAAGTAGTGACGCTGACCATGTAACAAGATGGAGATACTTAATCCCACTTTCGGTGGAAATTAAAATATTAAGGATTCCTTCAGCTGTTTCATCCCATAAGGAAGAAAAAAAGTGATACCAAAACCATGAAAAACATGTAGATTTCGCTAGCATCGATTGGAAATGCACAGAGGGATATGAAGGTTTAGCATTACACATCAGTTTGGTGAAATTGTGAAGATTTTCGATGTGTTGAACTGTAATTGAATGCATAAACGTTTGATACTAGTCAATGTCCTGCGCTCAACATCTGAAGAAGTCCTAGACATTGTATTCTGCTTTTAAGATTTCTGTGAAATAAGGGAAGAACTAAGAAATTAACACACAATGATCCTTAATGATAGATCTGTGGCTATCAAGGCAGCAGGTCTAGTCAAAGTCGGCGAAACAATAGAGTTTAAGACCTGAACAAGCGGGGAAGAAAAGATCCTTTTAAATATTTCAAAACTCTGGTTGCTGCATTACCACAAGTATCCATCCAAAAGGCTTGGAAACAAATTGACTAAGTTGAACTGAATAAGAAGTATTAGGTCTAGTAATGATCAAATAGAGTAACCTTTCAATCAATCTTCTATATGATGTTGTATATATCAGAAAAAAAGGGAAAGGAGTAACTTGATGATAATGCAATTTAGTGGAAGGATATCAAAAGGTGTGGTGACAGGTTTAGAAGCAATGATCACACTGTCTTCCAAAAAGTTCTAAGACATATTTCCTTTGATTAAGTACTATACCACCTTTAAACAGAGGAATCTCGAGACCCATGAAATATCTAAGAGGACAAATATCTTGAAGATATTATGCAGAAACTGTTAGACATGATTAATTTTTTCCATACAACTAGCAACAAGATCATCAAAATATACACTAGAAAAACTGTGAATAAAGATGAATTGACTTTCACAGAGGGAATAATCAGCAAATGATTGGTGATAATTCAAAAAAATTAATGTAAAAGAACGTTTATAATACCATTGGCAGCTGACCAGCTTAATATAGTTGGACTCGTGAATGCAAACTTTAGAAGAATTTAAAGTTAGTAAACCAAGTGGAGGAATCATGTAAGATCTCTTAATGTAAATCACTGCGAAAAAAAGCATTATTGACTTCATGTTCCAAAAATATCATCCTTTTGCAGCAGCCAAAACAAGAAGAATTCTTTCTGTGGTTAGTTTGGTAACAGGACACTAATTTGATTTCGTATAATGCAGTATAATATTTTTTGGATATATATAAATTAATAATAACCTCAGTTCCTGTGCGGAGGAAAAGAATGTCAAACAATTTGGATGATTGCTAGTTGGCTAAAAGAAGCTTTGTGAAAAGAACGAAATCACATAATGAGAAATGCAGTACCTTATGGAAATGAGTGAATCCTTTATAAAGATAATGAGGTGAAAAACTAAAGGCAACTTCACTGTGTTGGAAGTGTCACATCGTGTATACCTTGGTGTAACGACAATATATTGGAAATTTCATATTTATTGAAGATATAGTAAATTTAAAGTATATAAGAAAGTATAAATCTTATATATCTTACAAATTATTTTTATAATTTAAATTCAAAATTCACTTCTTAACACTTCATAATAGTACGATCACGGGAAGCAAAACCGAGTGTTGTATTATGATGTATCAGTCATGATATGCACAAGACATGGTGAAGAAATTTGAGATGCACAAGAGCAATGCTGTGAACACCTCAGCCGAGGTTGGATAGAGGTTAGAGAAAGAACCTGAAGAAGAAGCGTATCCTTCGTTATGTACAAGGAACATACCATTTTGGAAATCTGCTGCCAAAGGAAAGCTTGGAAATGAAGGTTTAATTGTAAAAAATAAGGTTGTTCATGGACAACCAGTCAACAATTGATCTTGTCAAGCACCCAATTTCTCATGGTAGAAGTAAACATTGAAACAAAGTTTCACTGCATTCATGAACAGATCAGTAATGGAAGTTTAGATATCACACACTCTAAATTAGAAGTGCAGTTTGCAGATATGCTAACAAAGACTTTGAAGTATGACTGATTTAGAAGTTTAAGAAAACATATTGATGTTACAAATTTAAGAGAATAGCTTTGAGAAACAAACACGACTGGACAAGCTCAGCACGGCAAACTCGACTCTGCAAGCACGACAAGCTCCGTTTTTTCAAATGTAATTTGAAATTTGGCTTAGTAAGGTGTTAGTGTTGTTTTAAGCCATAACACTTGTATAGATTACTCATGTATGGTTAGCTATTTCTATCTCGAAAATAAGAAGGAAACATAAATGTTATGGTGGTTTAAAATTGGAAAAAGAATAAACAAAATCTTGACCAATAAATTGTTCAAACGTTTAAAAATGTTTTATTTTGGTATTGAGTCATAATTTGTAATATTGATTTTTATTTAGTTCAATAGTTATAAATTTTTTTATAGATTTTTGTACGCAACTTTTACATTAAATAAACAGATAAAATAAATAAATATATTCAATAATTGCATGAAATGACACAAAATTTATTGCTTACTGGTTTTTTAATTTATTTCTAATACTTATTCTCAGTGGTTCTACCATAAATTATTAAAAGATTTGTCTATAGTAAAAATTTCAATTTATTAAAAACAACATTTAATTATACTTCTAATTGGGACACCTTTTTAATAATTTAGTATGTTACTTTACATAAAAAATAAAATTAATAAAACTATTGAAAGATAAAATTTATTTTATTTAGTAACCTTATTATAAAATCAGTTTTTCTAGATAAATTGTTTATTATATTATAAATATATTATCACATGTAAATATATATAAATATATTACATAATACCATAAATAATTACTAACGAGCTTATTTAAAATAATAAATAAATAAATATTTTAAAAAAAAATTATAATGAAACAAGCTTTTAAACATATTGCGTCAAGTCAAATTTTAATGCAATTTAAACATTTCAGAAAAGTGTAAAGGATGTGTAACCAAGTAAAGTGTAAACTTTATTTTCGAGGTCTTAACTGATCCATTTTCTATCCAATCATGAATTAAATATATATATATATATATATATATATATATATATGTATAAGAGAAAGAT